GGCCGGAGGCCCCGCGCGGCGAGGTCCCGGCGCACGAGCGCGAGGCCGCACCGGTTCGCGCCCAGGTGCTCGCGGAAGCCCCGGGCCGCGGCCGCGCCGCGCCGCGCGTCGAGGAACGCGAGGAACGGCGCGACGCCGTAGCCCAGGATCTCGCCGAGGACGAAGCCCTCGTACAACCGGACGGCGCCGGGCGCCGCGCGGGGCGCCGGGGCGGCCATCGCACGGGCGCGCGCGGCGGACGCGCCGGACGCTTCGGCCATCGGACGGGCACGCGCGGCGGACGCGCCGGACGCTTCGGCCATCGGACGGGCGCGCGCGGCGGGGGACGCAGAGCTCGAGGAGCTCCGCGGAGGACGCTCGGAGAGCACCGCAACGTAGGCCTCAACGTTGAACATGTACATTGAAGCCATACAAGCTCCCCAGGCGCGCTCGGACGCGCGCGGGCGCAGCCGGGCGGGCCGCCCCGGATCCGCGGCCGCGGGCGCGCGTATCTACTGAGACGTTACTTCGGCGAGGGTGGGGCGCCCCGGACGGCGGCTCCGGCGCGGGGCTGGGACAAAGAGGGCCGCCGGCGGAGCGGCGCCTCGGTTTTCCGCTCACGCGTCCTCGGCGGCGGGCTCCTCGGCGGCCTCGGCCTCCGCGGCGGCGGCGGCCTCGGCCTCCGCGGCGGCGGCGGCGGCGGCGGCGGCCTCGGCGGCGGCGGCGGCCTCGGCCTCGGCCTCGGCGGCGGCGAGGGCCGCGGCCTTCTTGGCCTTCATCTCCTCCTCGGCCTTCATGATGTAGTTGAGGCCGCGGACCTTCTCCTTGATGCGCGCGGACTTGCCCGTGAGGCCGCGGAGGTAGTAGAGCTTCGAGCGCCGAACCGAGCCCCGGCGGATGACGGAGATGCCCTTGACCGTGGGCGAGTAGAGGGGGAACGTGCGCTCGACGCCGATGCCCGACGACATCTTGCGCACCGTGAAGGTCTGCGTGACCCCGCCGCCGGACCGCTTGATGACGACGCCGGCGAAGTTCTGGATGCGCTTCGTGTTGCCCTCCGTGATCTCGCAGGCGACGTTCACCGTGTCGCCGGAGGAGAAGATCGGTCGGTCCGTGTCCAGCGTCTCCATCTGCCGCGCGGCGAAGGCGTCCATGGTCTGCCCGATGGCGAGGTCGCTCTTGGCGCCGGCGAGGGGTTGCAGGCGGGGGCACCGCGGGGCCGGGGCGGGCACGAGGCCCGACGCCAGGGACAGGGCGCCGACGAGGAGGGCCGATCGCATCATCGTTCTAGGGCGGCTCCGGGGGTGGCGGTGGGCGAACGCTGCGACGACGACGACGCAGCGGGCTTCAACTCTGAGTCTCGCGCTCCTTCAGCCCCGGGGCGTCGCCGAGCGACGCACGCCCGGGCCCCCGCAGGCCTCCCCGCCAGTGCCTGGACGCAGCTAGCGCTCGACCGCGCTGCGACGTCGACCACCACGAGTGCACCAGCCCGGCCATGCGACAGCGTGGCAGCCGCATAGTAGGCGCCTATCCCTCACGGCGGCCGACATCCAGCACAGCTGGGGCGCAGGGTCACATGACCGGGCGGTACCGGCGGCGGTCACCTCGCGCGGTCACCGCAGCCCCCGGGGGGCCAACCGCGCATGGAGCCGCGCGCGGAGCCCCCGCCGAAGCCCCGAGATGCAAGGTGCGCCCCGCGCGCGCTTACGGCGCCTCCGGCCGCTCCCAGGACGTCGCGCCGGTCGCCGCGTTGTAGTAGAAGTAGCAGCAGTGGTCGAGGGACCACTGGACCGCGACGGCCGGCGGCAGCGGCGGCAGATCGACGTCGGCGGCCTCGAGCAGCAGGCCCCGGAGCTCGCCGATGGACGCCGCGGCCGCCGGGGGGTCCGCGCGGCCTCCGCGGGCGAGCGCGGCGCGGAGCTCCCGCGGCAGCGCGAAGGGCGCCGCGCGGACCATGCACTGCAGCACGGCATTGCGCGCGCGCGGCGCGTCGACGCAGACCTCGGGCCGGTAGGGCGCGAGGTCGCCGGCGTCGAAGGGCGGCGGCGGCGTCGCGTCCGCGCGGAGCTGCTCGCCCGACGGGAGCGCGCGGCAGAGCAGGAGCCGCGGCGGGTCGAGGTGCGCGTAGAGCCCGCCGTCCATGGGCCAGCAGGCCGGGCCCGCGGCCGCGTCGGCGGCCGCGGCGCCGCCGCCGAGGCCGTCGCCGAGCAGCTCGCGCCACTCGCG